AACAGCTCACATGGAATTTTTAAAAGGGGCAGGATAGTGAATTTCTTAGAATTTGCTTTATTTTCTCATTCTACTAATTTTATTCTTCAATTTTTATATAAATATAGCATAAAAAATAATTAAGAAAATAATATATTTGTATAGCATTAATCACATTTTTTTTTACAATTCCACTGTTGTGGCTTATGTACTTTTTTGCATGTAGCCACCTTTGGCTCATGGAAGTAGTTTGGGGCCCAGTGCCAAAAACACTTTTATGAGGAGCCCTAACGTGCATACCATGTGGTGATGTGTGGTACGACGTCCTCCATTTGAGCCCAGTCTGTGACCTTTGCAGATCCTCATCCCTCATGGACTTTTACTACTTTACTACGCACTACCTTATAATGGTCAAAGAGGACAATCTCACATGGTTTAAACTGACCACTTTCTCTAAAAGGAAAACATTCATATCATGCTTTCAACTTACAACTCTACCTGCTGCCTCTTGGTATTGCATCAAAAATCAAAATCACATGAAATCAAAATTTTGAAATGTGAGGAATGTGTCTTCTCTTAATCTGAGACGAGGAGATGCAGTCAACTACTCTACAAAACGTACAACTACCATATGAAAGTATATGTTTGAATTTACACACACACACAAATGCACGCACGCACGCACACACACACACACACACACACACACACTCCCTCTTTCTCTCTCCAAGTCTATTTGTTTACAGAGATTGAAAGTGCTTGTTTTACTCATCACTTCACTTACCTCTGACTTGGGATGATTAGGCTGCAATATGTTTGCATGCCATTATTGTCTCAAAAGTCTAAGTGTGTGTATGTGTGTGTGTGTGTGTGTGTGTGTGTGTGTGTGTGTGTGTGTGTGTGTGTGTGTGTGTGTGTGTGTGTGTGTGTGTGTGTTGGAGGTATGCAAGGTAGCAGGCCCAGCCAATCCAAGAATGTGTTTACAAGCCTTATCGCAGCTTCACTGCAAAATGAGCGTATGGAGAACAGTCGGATAAAATGATATGTGTTACTTAGCTAAGAATGTCAATAAAAAATGTCTTCTCTGTGTGACACACAAAGTGGACAGACACATACTCACTGCAACATAAGCAGACATGATGTAAATATTGTACACATCGCTGCATTGGCAGAAAAGTTAAGATGATCGAAGCCGGGGCAGTTTTACTGAAGACGCCCTTGTAACTTCTGTGTTTTTGCCATCTTTCGTTTTAAACCATTATTTCGTGATCATGTTATGTTTTACTAGATTTTTGGTTTATTTTCTGTTCAATTCAATTCTCTTTCTTTTATGTTCAATATTCTCTTATTGTTATGATTAGTCCTGTCAGTGCAGTCTGCCATGCCTGGTGGGGTGGAGGTGTAGCGTTACAGTTTATCAACTTTCTGCTACAAGGACGCCATCTTGTGTTGACACACAGAAGTGAAAGGCCACTGTCAATGACACTGAGAATGAATACCAGCACTTGGTACTATCGTGTATTTTTCACAATATTCACGTTTATTTGCAATTTTCCACATTACCATATGACATAAATTACTTGTTTTATTTGGATTTTTTTGTTATTTCTATTTGGCACTGGTTCTGCATTTACTCCCTATGTAGTTAATATTTATATTTTCACTCACAATACAGTTTATTTTATTTGTCTTTATTTTCACATACATTTTATAGACTTAATACCCTACTTATTTTTTCTTTGTTGTTGAATATATGTTGTTTTACTGTAATCTACGAGCTATTACAAGAATATCTTATCGTAATTTTTAAATCTTATCTTATCTTAATCGAAAGTCTGTGTCATAAAGTATTGTCAAAGCAGATATAACTGGCAAACTTCAAATGGAAACTGCTCTCGACAAAACTCTGTTAGTACCATTCAATTACTGCTTTAATGGTGTAGTAATGTATTCAAACAGCGACTTGTAGCTGAAGTTGACACCTGTGTGCTGCTCGCTCAGCCTCCTCTTAGAGAAGCAGGCAAATAACAAAGATGCTTTACAAACTGCATTACAAGTGGCCGGTGCACATGTGCATGCACTTTAGCGAGCACGTCGTCTGCTTCCCATCAAGGCATCCCACGACTCTTGTTGTACAAACAGCCCCTGTTTATTGTCTCTGTCCCAAAGAGAAAGAAACCTGCCCCTCTTCACACAGGAACAGATACGGAGCCAAAGCAGCCACAGTAGACAGCAGGCCCCCTCCGTCTCCCACCATCACCTCTCGCAGCCGTGTTTTCACAACCCGAGATAACAGAGAAGAACAGGATGGGGGGGCAGGGACAGACAGTTACGGTCTGGAGTTTGATGAATTACAAAATCACTACGTGTGTGTGTGTATGTGTTTGAATGTGTGTGTGGGGTCATCTTGACGTTTATCCACCCATGACAATAATGTGGGTCGAGTGTTTCTCTAAGTGTTTCTTCCGATTGTTGCTATGACGACAGGTTCCCAGAGCAAAATAAAGTATTTCCGAATACATTTTATTTCTCAAGGAGAGGGATAACATTGCCAAAATACATTTTGTGATGAATCTGCTCTCGCTGGGCCTTTATCTGCACTGCAATTTATCAGGCTCAGCTCCCCCCTTGTGTTCAGGGCACGTATCGCGAGACAGTGACTCCAGTAACTCCTGATGTGTTTTGTTGTACTGTACATGAAGGGTCCTGAGGCAAGCCGCACCTAAAAGGCATGAGATGCATTGATGTGCACCAAATGGACTATTAAATCTCTGAGCACCAGCAGCCCTAGTTGGGTGGGCTGTGGAAGTTAGGCAGCAGCTGAGCCATCACCTCCAGGGCCTGCATTAACTCATAAAGATCACTGTCTCTCCCAAACACCCTGAGCCAGGGCCTACGTTAGGCCTGCCTGTGTTTGCGAGGAGGGACACTAATGTGAGAGTGTGCACGGCCCTCGAAAGCTTGATGGATTATACTTTTAGTGCATAATTTACCCGTAAAAGAAGTGAGATTGCTTCATTTCACGGTGTGTATTAAACAAGTTTCTCTCTGTCTGTCTCCCCCGCTTCTATAATTACAGTCATTGGTATCAGATGAAACCCCACACAGAGCTGATCTCTGGATGTGCCCTTTGTGTAAGCAACATCTCACTGTTAGATTGATAGAGGATCGGAGGAGAGTTCACACAAATGGAAAGGCATTATAGTGTCGGGTTACATCTAAGTTTTCTTTCTCTGTCCCCTCAGCCTCTCAATCCTTTCCTTTGTCTCTATTTGTTAATGTTCCCGTTTCTTTACTCTTATTTCTATAAAAACTTATTTCTCCTCTTTTGCATCTCCTGTTGTTTTTACTGTAAAAGTATGGCACATAGAAGCAGAGGACCACCAACACTCCACTGCAGGAGATAAGAAATGGAGGGACTCTATTTGTCTGACTGATCTACGGAAACGACTGTCTGCAGCATAACACTATAGAGCATTTTACTGTGGCAACCCTTCATTAATGCTTTGTGTGAGGCTGTGTGTGTGGGTGCGTGTGTGCGTGTGTGAGAATGCAACAGTCAGCGTAGGTGGAGACACAAGTCATCTCTGGTGGGGACGACGTTGCATTCCTCAGGCACTATTTTTCTCTCGGAGGGACACATGGAAAAATACACCCGTTCTAACCTGGCCGTGCACTCCAACAGACACACACATAAACACACGCACACACACATGCACTGACTGACAAAGACAGACACATGCTGCCACATGCACACAGATGTCGACAGGCAGATCTATTTATACCAGTGCTACAGTAAATCTATCCGCTCACTTGTCTATTTTCTCTGGCTTTGCCCATGCAGCACTGAATACCTGCTCAGCCTAAAGAGGAGAAAGAGAGGAGAGGAGAGGAGAAAGAGAGGAGAGGAGAGGAGAAAAAGAGGAGAGGAGAGGAGAGGAAAGGAGAGGCTGGGGGAGACAGGAGGAGATGAGTGTTCCACGGCATTTCCATCCATTTGGCCTTTACCTCTCCATGTCTTCAACACAACTGCTGGCCTGACTGCTGCACACCACTGTGCAACAAATTCCAGGAAAATAAGAACTTGTGTCAACTTGTGCAGCTCAAACTAATACAGGCCAACACCCCCCCCCCTTTCTACAGCATAAATACCTCAAAACAACACCACTGTTTTTTCTGAGCGACAAAAAGAATTGAAAGAATCTAATCAAGGCAAAGGTGCATAAAGAATCCAGTCTGGTGAAAATTATCCCTGAGGTGAAAACCTAACTCGACCCTGTGTTCAGACAGTGTGTGAAATACTCTTCTGGAACTTCTGGATGAAATCCAGAAAGAAGAAGTGATATAATATGTGATATAAATAAAATATCCTGTCAATGTTTGAAGTATTTGTTTCAACAGGAGTGCCCCTCCTCACAGGTTGTCGTATTTAGTTTTGGTTTGAATAATAGGTTTTGTCAGGATTGGGCCACATTCAAAGTACAAAGCAACATTACACTAACTGTAACACAAAAACATGTATGAAGGGAAATGTGGTCATATGTCTATGTCTTGTATGAGGATCTTTATTTTAAAAATCAGTATTTCTTGAGCTCCTGAAATATAAAAATGTTTGTTCAAATATACTGGCAGCAAAGTGCAGTATCTCATCACTTCATGTTTCATACAGGTCAGATACTGCACACAGAAACACAAAGTTAAACAAAAACATGAATGTTGTATTTATGAATGTGAGGAAACTGTAACATCCCGATATGAAATGATTTTTTGCAGAATGCAGAGCGAACAAGGAAATATATAGCATGAAATGACAAACCCCATTTAAATACATGACAATGGATGAATTTAGTGACATTTGTTGCGCAAAATGTGTTGAATTATGTATCTGTCATTGATTTGTGTCATTATTACCACATTTGTTATAAGAGTTATAGTTAGATCATTATGATAGAGGCTGCAGTGATGATAATAAACTGAAACCCAAGTCATCAAGATTGGAAAAAGATTTATTGTTCTGCCAGAATAAAAAATGATATTGCTTAATCCACAGTACTAATGATAAAATGTACATTACTCATCCGTCTGTTACTGGTTTATTCACTAAATAATATTTCTGTGCTGTCTAACTGCAAAATATGAAAATTGGGGCATTTTTCATTCAAACGTTCATCTCTCCTGGGTGAAAAAAAAATGGGTGAAGATAAAACCACAATCGTCTATAAATGTGAAGAACCTGCTGACACAAACAGTCGGGTAACAAAGTGGACACATCAGAATAATGGTCCATGATAAAGCTGGAGATTTCATTTTGGCCCTAACAAGGATACTGTGGGAGGATCAGGTCAATCTGCAACATGACACATAACCAACTGTTACAGCAGAACGAGATGATTCTGAATCCTCAAGGGTAAAATATAATCCTATCCCTGAACGCTCGCCCAAAACACAAACAGCAAGATGAATGCAAGCGATGTAGTATTATAGTTCAGTATATGTCGCTGTACATCGTCTGGTAATAAAACTTTAGTGTAAATGAGATGACATGATAGGTTTATGGGGGAAAAATACTCCCCCTGGAAATCAACGACTGGTAAAAGATCTTGTCTGCCTCACACAGAGACAGAAAGTCACAGAGCTGTGTGCTTTTAATAACCAACACAATGCAGTTTAACGTCAGACAGCAACTTACAGATATATATAAAAGGTACTGTCCACTGAAGGGTGATAACTGGCCTACCTGCACAAACGCATGGTCAATGGACTGCATTTGTATAGCACTTATCTAGACTGTGAACCACTCAAAGTGCTTTACAATGTGCGTCTCATTCACCCATTCACACACACACTTCAACACGCTCAACACAATCAAACCGGGAACCTTCCAATTGCTAGACGACCACACGTGGACACACACACACCTATCGAATGAGAGCCAACATCCAAAGTGCATTATTACATTAGCCCTGTATGTCATAACAGATAAACAAAATACATCATATACATTTGCTCGATACTGAACATCATGTCAACACAGGTTTTCTCCTTTGGTGAACACGAAACAGCCCACTCCAAAAAAAGGTTTTATTGCCAAACAATTACTGAGGAAGTCCATGGCAGCCGTCACATGCAAAGTGCTTCTGAGAGAGATGGAGGTGAGTAGTCTTGTCATCATATCTATATATAAATAACAGTCTTTGCTGACAGGCCGAGTCCACACCTGCAAAAACAAAGTGTTGACACTATTCTTCAAACTGGATAATGTGATACCGTTTCCCTTTTTTGGTGCATTTTTTTAATGTAGTAGCAGAAAAAAAAGTCAAGACCAGCATCTTTTTTTTTTTTGGTGTTCCTATAGTTACATTTACTGTAACTGAGACACTGCTTCTGTACTATCAACAGATTGCAAGGTTTCGGAATGATAAAATATGGAGATGCAACTACGCTGGAGGTGAACAATCAGAAATCAATGATCCATAACTTTTCTGCAATGCTACAGCATGGCGCAGATAGATATCAGTACGTGCAGGACTTTTTGGTTTCATAGGGCAATGCATGATTAAATGAGGTTGGTGCCTAAATCTTTTGAGATCCACACCAAACTCTTTGCTTGAACTTGTGGAAGGAGGAGAAGGCAGCTGATCATGTCTGGTTCCTCCTGGCATCGACCGTCCTCTTTCATTTAGATGGAAAACACATATTTTCACATTCTTTGGTCCTTTTTCATAAACAATAAAAAATAGGTAGTTCTGAAAAGCAACGTTTCTTTATTTGACTTCTTTTTGTCCATCTGTCCATTGGTGCAATGTGGTTGTGTTTACCTTCTGCACCTTCCAGCATCTCATGTCTTTCTGGAAGTCAAACACTATCTGAAAGGTAATTTTGGGGGCATTTTCTGATTGAAGCTGGTGCAAAAACCCATTCCTTCTTTCACACTGTAGCCAAACTAAAGCACGCACCTCAAAAAGTAACAGAAGTCATTATATTTAACTACGTCTGACAACTCTCAACCTCAGTTCATCAGTGGCAGAGACTGAGCTCTTTTCGGACCAAGCATTTCTTGCACTGGACCACGCAACACCAGTGGAAACGACACAGGCAGTTCTCCTCAAACACCACCGTCTCCTCCCGGTAGCCACGCTCGCAGCACAGCAGATCACAGCCGCTGATGTCCATGGCCGTGCTGTTGCACATGCGGCCTCGTGTCCCCAGAGAGCCCGTTTTCCGATTCGCGAGGCAGAAATCGGGCGACTCGTCCGAGTAGATCAGGTCCTGCTTGTCCGGTGGCTTTATGTTCTGGCCCACGGGAATCAGGGTCTTGCCGTCGTTGCCTCCCATCACCTTGGAGGCCCCGTTGAAGCGCTCCAGCAGACGGTCGCCTACTTCGCGGAAATGAGGCATCTTTTTCCAGCACGTGCGCAAGGTGCAGGAGCCCGACAGTCCGTGGCATTTGCACTCTGTCCGCATGTAGAGCTTCACCGCCTGGGAGGAAAAAGGGTGGAGGGGTAGCATGGGTGAGGGGATTTGCGTGGGGGAGAGGTGACAGAGGGCAAACAGGTGGAAAAAAAAGAATGGAGGGAGAGAGAGAGTTGATCAAAGTGAAAAAAAGGGGCGAAGACACTTTTAACCTGGTACCCTCAAGTGAAGAAGAACTGCTTTTGACAAATGGCAAGTTCTCTAAAGAAGTAATTTATTATTATGTTTTCATGATATATCACAGACAAAGCCACCGGATCACGCACACACACACGTGCACACACTCAAACACACACTGATAGATAGGTAAGATAAAAGCAGACGCTATTCAGAAGGAATTTAACTCCACAACCCCCCTCTCCCTCCATGTTGCCTCTGGCCTTCCTACATCTAACAAGCCTTGACAACAGATCATTCACTTATACTGCACATAATTAACCCATCACACACACTCACACACACTCACTCGCACATGCACAGACACACACACACACACACACACGCACAGACAGACAGACAGACAGACACACACACACAAACACACACACAAACACACACGTGCCCATTCACCCACACACAGACACACACATATTTGCAAAGTGTGTGTACATGCATGCATGGACGATCTCCCAAACCCTCCTCTCCTCTCTTCCTCTCTACCTGCCTTTGACCCCGACTAAAGTGAACTTTATAACTCTGCGTTTCGCTTGTACATGTGTCAACATCTCTGCAGGTGGCTGCAGCAAACTTGACATCAACAAAACACTGACAGCCAAAACCAAATGTGATCTCGGAGCAAAACGATAAATTTTCCGAGCAAACACGATAATTAACTAATCTGAGTTGCTACTTTATCCACCGTTCTTTCGGTAGCTTGTCGTGACTATAACTCATCCCCCGTTCATACGTGCTACAAAAGAGGAACTTTAAACTTGAACAGGGGCTTTGGAAACGTTAGAAGCTACCTGCCTCGGAGGCTTGAAAACAAAATGTGTGGCACGCTCTTGTTTTTGTGTTTCAGAAACCTGATTCTTGTCAGAATATCAGCTTACGGCGCTACACAAATCTGGCCAGGAGCGATGTCTTTCTCTCTTGCATGTTCGTGGAATGAAAAATATTCCAGAGGGCAAGCAGCACCTCTGGTGAAACATCAACCCTGGGTTGAGCACAGTTGTAGTAGAATTAATAGTTTTAATGCTGACATTAATGTTATGATGAATTTATTCTTAACCAATTCAAATATTAATGCATAAAAAAAACCAAAGACACACTCTGGAATTCCTTCTGAAACTATCTCTTACCAGCCTCCCGGCCTCATTGTTGTGCAGGTCAATGAGCGTCCTGATGTCGCTCTTGCCTCTCCTTCTCTTGGCGTCCATAAACTGTTTTGACTTTTCATAACCAAACTCCACATCATCTCCGCAGCCCCCCCATTCCCACTTGACTCCATCACCAGAGGAGGACGACGACGACGAGGGCGAGAGCGGCCTCGGCGGTGCCCTGTTCCTGGTGGCCTCACAGCCGCACTGCAGGAGGTCGCCCATGCTGCAGGCCTGGGTCACGGCGTGGGTCACCCCGGCTGCTGTTATGGCATAAACAAAGGCTGTCTCCCGGATATCTGCAGTGAGGGAGACCAATAAAAGAAGGGTTTAATCTTTAAGAAATAGAATACACCTGTATTTGAAGGACTTATTCATAATCTAATTTTAAACAGGCCGGACCCAGAATTATAAACAAGGATTAGAACTTGGTTTCACTGATTCAATAAATTCATCATTTCAGATCATGCACTTGTTTAAAATTGCAGGTCAAAAACTTGAAAACATTCCACATCATCATTACGCTACAGTGACAGTACAACTACATGATACACACACGCACTCATTACACCACATCACATCCAGACATCTGTTGACTTTTTTCACTGACACATGGAGGTCTTTGTATTTGATCATCCCGCGTGTCCTCCACAATCAATCGAAGGATAACAACTAGGAAAAAGAGAGAGCGCCCCAAGTGCAAGAAGCTTGTTTCCATCCATCTACTCATCCAGGCATCTGTCCCACCATCCAGCCAGTCAATATCTCAGCTCCATGGAACAGGATAAAAGCACCTTTGTCTCACTCCTGGTCCATTACTGCAATCTCAAGCGTCACTGGATTTGTAGTGCTGAGAGGATGGCTAATTCTCTCTCTCTGGTGCACAAACACACACACACACATGCAGCCTCACACTCGTACACTCATATACACACCACAGCTGCTGGTTTATTTTGGGCACTGAGCTTAACACTCCTGGCAAAAGGCACGTCCTGCCACAACTGCAAATTGATCATCTGTCCTCGCCGGGGGCTTCAGCATGGCTCTCACCCTCGGCTCAACCCATCTTTGTAGTCAGTTATTGCAGCTATTGTCATTCATTTGACAAGTAAAGAGCAGCTATACAAAAGAATCTGAGAGATTCATCATTCTCTTTTTTACAAACATGCCTTCAGGAGTGGCATTCTAATTAATTTACTTTGCTGTTGTTACTGTTTGTTAAATCCTGACTGTCACCACAAACTTTTTTGATGAAAAATCTTTAATACGGTGGATCTATGAGAAATCTTTAAACCTCCAGAGCCTTAAAATCTAAACCTCTGTGTTTAGTCTTGGATTCAATTTGACGTCACTCTAACAACTAAAGATGAATTCCCCTTTGACTCAACCATGTCCTGCTGCCATAAAAGAGCAGGCCTGATCAACAAGCGGGCTGCAGTCCGGAAACGGCCCTTTTGAAATCGTCCGCAAGGCTATGGTCTGCAAATCATGTGTGTGGAATAATAAAACTACAGTACATCTCTGAGCAGCCTCGTTTTATCTGCTCCCATTCCTTGTTCGCCTGCGGACCCCCTTAGCTGGTCAGTTTTCCTCACTGGCTGGTTACCCATACCTTTGTGGATGGAAGGTTCTGTCTGAGCTGCTTCAATTCAATGGATACTGTTTTACTATGTTCATCTCGTTTTATATATTTGTGGGTCACAAAAAACACCTCGTGTTTTGGGCTGGAATGTGCCATTTTGCACATCTGCATCAGCAGACTGATGGCTGCTGGAATTGATTATAATAATACCAGATCAAAGTGAAAAAAAGGGTTGCATGTCATTAGTTTATACCAAGTAATACAATATCTTCTAATATAAGAATTCTTTGTTGACAACAGTTGACAAATAATCTATGTGGCACCAGAATCCCCCAGTGATTTTCTTATTTGGCCCACTTGCTGTTAAAGTTGAATAACCCTGCACTAGAACATTGAGTGCATGCTGCTGTAAATAGTCCCTAAAAATGCACCATTTTATTCCTGTTTGAGTAACACTTGCTAAAAACCAGCTGTTTGGGGAAATTACTGAGCCTTTTTAAAAGAGGAGACATGCATCGAGTGTGACATGTTTAAAGATTTATGTCTTAAGCAGACAAAGACAAAAAAGACAAAACAAATGTATTAGGGCGAGTGAAGAGCGAAGAACAGCCACTTGTTTAGCCAGTGTGTGTGTGACACTGAGCAGAGGACTTTTATTTCTAAAGAGCTGGAAGGCGGTGAGCGTGCAGTCACCACCATCAACACTGCCAACTCCATATCGCATGATTCAGAGAATGGGATTCATTAGGAATGGTAACACACACGCACGCACACACACACACACACACATACACACAGACTGGATGGCGTGCGACAAAACCTGCACACCCCAGCACGCCGTGATATCAATACCAGCTGTGCACCCCAACACCCAGAGATGTCTCTAATGCAGGCAAATTTGTGCGAGTTTGTGTGCGTGCATGTGAAATCGTATGTGCGTTTAAGAAGAACTGGTTTATGTAGAAATAACATTTATGACATTTCACAAATACTCAGCTTGTTTAATGTTTTTTATCTTGTGGTTTACATTTGTTTAGGTTTGGCTCTGACTGATGCCAGGCGAAACTGTGTAAGTGACTCTCTACAACTGTGTGTCTGTGTGTGTGTGTGTGTATACTTATTCTCATATCCCGGTGGGGACTTTGAAGTGACACTAATCACGGTGTTACTTTGGAGACACAATTTGGGTCTCATGGGTTCTGCTCTTTTAGGGCCTTAATTCAATGATGTGTGTGTGTGTGTGTGTATGTGTGTACGCGCACAGGCTCAAAAAGACCACACCTCTCTGCTGCTGCTGCTCAGCAGAATAGGTTTTCAGCAGGAGCGACACACTCAAATCGAGATGTGTCACCTTTAAAACATCCCTGGATTTATTCAGACATGTGTGTTAAACATCAGCACACAAGTCATTACGAGAACAATGTGGTGATATTAACATAAGCTGTATCTAAACAAGCTGGGAGTCTCTCCAGATGTCCTCAGATACACTGCTGCGACACAGCGTTTCATAAAGGAAATGTACATGAGGGAAGTGTTACTTATTGAATTTCTTATTAACATTTTATTTGACCCTGTTTCAAAAAAGGAGTCAGAGATTAGGAGCTAAAATGATCCCACTAGAAGTGAACAGAGAAAGATGACAGAACCGACCCAACAGAGCAGAGGGTTAAAAAAGAAAACAGAAAGTATTGTTATGTGTAAAAGAAGCTATCAAAAATCTGATGATTTAAATACCCTGCTTCATATTTTCCTCGGAGACATGAATTCCAAACAAATTCTCTGCCATGGCGGGTGTCTGGGCCTGTCTAGGTCTGCTTCTAATTCCAGAAGGCCCTTCTGCAAGAATTAGCACATACTCTTTTAATAGTCTGACTTTTAGGCCAAGATACAAGGGAGGTCTGGTACATCACCTGCAGCGACTGATGATCACATCAGGGGCCGTCTAGTCAAATGGCCACAGATCGGAGTTGGAGGACAGGGGGGCAGCTACCAATATAATCTCAGTATCAATATTAATAGTTGATTATATTGAATACTATCTGTCTTTTAGTGTTGAGGCCTATAGGCATCAGTGCATTGGAAACATACAACTATTTGCATTCACATGTATTAAGTCACTTGTTACCTGCATATGTTTGCATTATAGGAGCACACTACAGAAGCTTGATGAAACCTTAACAGAAACAAAGGTCCCTTTTTTTTACTACTACATGGGTCGATTAGGTTACTACTATACAGTCAGTTCTGTGTGAGCATTTGTCCTATACACAGTTGGATCTGAGCATTTTCTATTATGACACTATTATATACTATACTCTAAAGCAGTGGTGCAACTTTATCACAGTAGACAATTTTAGTATCCACTAAAAACCAAGCTCTCTGATTTTGAATCAGGTCTAATTACTGTAGATGTGTTAGAATCATGCCTAACTGTTCTCAGGCCCCTTTATAATCAAATCTCTTTCGATGAAAAAGAATGATAGCACTGGGTTTGGGTACAGTTGATGAATTATAGACTCATAACAATCACTCCATCATGCAGTGAGATGAGGGACACATTTTGTTGACAGTCTGCTCAAGTGATTAAAAGAGGTTCCAACCTGCTGGACAACCAGAGTCTGAATGTTCTCCCCATGTCTGTGTACTCTGGCTTCATCCCACAGTCCATGCACATGCAGATTGGGAATAGGTTGTGAGCATGATAGTTGTCTGTCTGTGTATATTGGCCTTCTAATGAAACGGCGACCAGTCCAGAGTGCACCCTGCTTCTCGCTAAATGTCATCTGGTATTGGTTCCAGCCCCCCTGACCCTCAAAGGATAAATGGTGTGAATTTCTGATCAAAGCAACTTCTCAGAAATGGGACTAAAACAAACAAAGTGATGCACAGGTGTTGAAACCAACTCACGGTAGATCCTTATCGCACCAATACCAAAGCAAAACAACCTGGCATTTATTATTTTATGGATTACTTGATCAGCATTTTATGTACAACACTCTCAGTGTACTTGTCAGGTTTGTAACACAGAATCAAACCATACAGAATGCTTCCGTTATCAGGTCAGGGAGACTCACTTATTCACACTGTCAATCACACAGTAGGCTATAGTTCCACTCCGTTTCTTATAATAACCAGTTACATATAGAACAGGAAAACACAATGTGTGTGAAGGTGTAAACATGTGTATACATGTCTAGATACATGTGTGTCTACCTTTGAACAACATAACAGAGAATTCTCTGAAATCTCTGACACGATTAATGACTGGTTTAATTAATGTGCAACCATTGTACAGCCCAGAGCGAAAGTTCTTGTTAATTCAACAGCAGTGCGAGGTTACACACACACACACACATAAACACACACACACACCACACACACACTCATACGCACAATCTCATTTTCAAAGGAAAGCCGCAGCATCCCTTATGTGATTACCAGCATTGCTGTATGCTGGCCTGCTAGCACTGCCAGGCATGACTGCTCCAGGCTCTGTGTGTTATTTAAACAGAGCAGAGATCAAGGAGAAGATGATAATAGCTACCACTTAATGACAAGAAACCACAAATTCAACCATGTTTTGGAGCCAACTGTTCGTGAAAGGTTCATGTCCAGAGGAGAGAACATTTTGATTCTGACGCATTATAAGTTGTCATCCTTGTGTCGACATGTTCATTCATTCACACATGTGAGTTTCAGAATGTTGTGAAATCTCCTAAAACCCCTATTATACCAACACACACACGCAGCCACATGTAATGATGTGGCTGCGTGTGTGTTAATGTGCCATGCAGGTGGATAAATATATATATAACATGATAATGGATACATAATATATATACAGTATATGTAATTTATCCATTATCATGTTCGTAATCCAAAACAAGAAATTAAATACATGGACACACACAAACAGACATGGCGAGAGTGAAGACATATGAGGTGGGTAATATGTGTGTGTGTGTGTTTATTTTCCACGCAGCTGGATATATAATTTATCCATTATCATGTTAATCATCCAAAACAAGGAATGTGATACATGCACACGCGTAAACACACATATTCTCACTCACACACACACACACACACACACTCACACACATTCATGCTTGTTAGCGTCAGTCATAAAAACAGAATCACTTGTACTTATCTTCTTCCTCAACTGACAAGCTACAGTACACAGTCTGTTTCTCAGTCAGACACACACGTTGACATACAGCAGTGCACCCATGCCACACAGCGAATCCCATTTGCTGGGGAATACGCCGCACAAGTGCAACCAGGTTTGTGTTTGAATAATGGCTGAAGATTGCCTGATAGCCTGGAGATATTTCTCCAGAGTGGAGACAGAAAAAAAGGTGGTGCAGCCAGTGTTGGTTGTTCTCCAGACCCAAACACCCTGTGGCTTTGTTTTCACTGCAGAGTTTAGAAGCATAACCCCGTCATAACTGCACAATGAAACATCCTGTGTCTACCCGACACCCGCATGGACACAGAGATGGATAATCGGAAAGCGGACTGCATCCGTTCTCGTCAGGATTGTGTTGTTGTTCCGCTAAGAAAGGCTTATTTCATCAGAATAATCAGTGTATAATCACATAAAACTCTAAACAGAGGTCAATGAGGTTAAGTAAACCACTTTGAAAGAGTCCATTAAACACAAAGGCACTTTAATTTGTGACGTTTACTGGTAGTTCATGATAGACAGCCATTAAGAGCAGATCCAGGTAATTGAGGACAAAGACTTCAAAACAGAGAGGCACTCTGGCCTCCCGTATAGACAGGCTGGAATTTATGATTAATTGCTAGTCTGTCTCCTACTGGTATATTCTTGCCCTCCTTCCTTCTCTCTCACTCTTCCCCTCTTTCTCAATCTGTCTTTCTGTCTTCATTCTTTTTTCTCTCCTTTGTTTCTCTGCCAGAGACACTGGCAACACTGGTATAGTCATAAATTCAGATGAGATAAGAGACTAAACAACACGCATTTAAAACATGTCAACTTCAGCTACTGACAAACGTAGACCTACTGTCGGAATCTAAAGAGACATACGCTCAGGTCTCAGGGTTTGATTGCAGGGACCCACAACACATTTTTGGACACATTTATGTTTACTATTACTACGTTACTATGTTTACTATTCTAACAATTTTTTGATTTGTCCGTTTTTGCCTTTGTCCCAACAAAAAGTAATAATATTACCACCTCGCTAATTTCAATGTCATCTGTGCAATATCTTTCCACTGATATATTTGAAAAACAAGTACAATCACACGCGAATCTCGACTTTTTCCAAAGCAAGAAACTGTTAAAATAATAATAGTCAAACATCATTTGAAGTAGTGGCATTCCATCAGGAGTGATTGAGCAGTTAGAGACAGAAGTAGACAACAGTTAGAATGACACCAAAGTGGTTACATCTCAACCTCCTGTTCCATAGAGGATCTGATATTGTCATTTGTGTTTGAAATCATTTTGTATTTCACTGTCCTCTTGTGGCTGCAATAGGACATTGTCTCTTGAAGTTGACCACCGACGGATCTATCACTTCTGTCTTTTTCATGGATGTGATCCTGTCATGTTAAAAGGCTAGGGTTTGTCAATCCGAGGGGGAGCTACATTTTTTAGATGATTGCACATCGAAGATAATTAAGGGAACTTTGATTGGTGGCTAGCTACTTGTTACACGCATGTGCAGTGTAGAAACTCCACCTCCTTCTGCCTTAATTAGTTCAATGGCCATGCACACCATCTCCCTCAGTGTCCTCTCTCTTCTATGTTACAGTTATTATACTATTGTTAAGTTAAGCTATCAGTGATGGCGCTGCGATAACAAGGTCCCACCAATACACGTACCTGACAAATCGTGATTCAGTCTGAGCAGTCAATAATGTTTCATAAACCTTTCATAGCATCAAATAACTAATTAAAACCTTGATAACTTTGTTGAGCTGTTGGACAAACGTTAGTGTGATAAGAACAATCTAATATGACAGAAACCATCCTTGGAAAAATATATTTGATGTGTACTTTGACTTTTTAGTTTGGCCGATGGGACATCCACTTGCATGGAGGAGGCTGGCTTTGAGATACTTTGGCTTCACTATTGTTTTCAAGTACACAAACATCAGCACAGATACCTCACTGCCAACTTGTGTCTAGGTGGTGTATTGCAGAGCGATCCAATTGTATAAATGCATACGATAGTGTAGGCTGCTCGGATAATACCCAGTTTCGTAGTAGTATGTGAACTGTGAACTAGCAGTGCAATGTATGTGTCCTTTAGGAAATTTGTCAGCAAACTCTACAAGACCCAAGCCAAGTTACTGTGTCATGCAACACAAAGTCTCCCCCGTGCTTCCGGACTATGGTCCAGTAGACAACATGGAGATTGGAAAATACAAGGTTCTGCATTGTCACTGGAGTGTGTCACCATCACTTATAAAGTGATTTTTAGATATGTATGTTTTTTAGGCTCTGCTTGTCTATCTGTATTGTCTGAGTATTTTACTTCCATGCGGGAACTTGGAATCTTGTATGCCCACTCTAAAGTCGAGAACCTATCACAGATCTTAAAAAATTGAACATTTTTAATTATCTTGTAGATTGAAAAATTACATTTCAGTCTTCAATACTACGTTGTGGCATAGAAAATTCATCAACTCAATAAGACTTATTAAGCTATGATATTAGTTATTGGCTGTTTGTTGACTAAACGCAGGATAAAAGTCCTCTGTATTACCATTCAAACAGGACACAGGCAGTTCTCTATGAATCTAATCACATGAGAGAAAAACCAACACAGTAATTGCAAAAGACCCAGCGCTGACCCAGCATCAGTTATATTACAGACTTCAAAGAGCGGGAGGAAGATGTCAGGAGATCTTAGAAGAGATGTTAAGAGCAAAGGCAATGTTAGTTGATCATTTCAAGCGTGCCCGATCTGATGAAGACGAGAGTCAGTCAAGTGTGAATACGTCTGGTCTGAAATACAACAGCTGCCCTTGTCTGTTGAGCTGCCATTAGACAGGGATCTGACCTCAAGTTGAGGTAAGGCCGCCGGCTGCGGTCATGAGGTCATGGGTTCAGATCCTTCCGCAGTTGCAGTTGGAAAAATGAGGACATGACAATTTATTTAATGCGTTTTTTATGCATGTGCTCAAAATCATGTGAAAGACTTTTAGTAGAACCGGTGAAGAGAGCAAAGATGGTTATGGGAAATAATTTCTCTTCCATCAAATCAGATCAGATCGTTTAGATCGGCAGTCAGAAATCTGAGTCACGAAACCACTGGTTTTCACTCTTTGCCTGACCAATTCCAAACAACTAATGTGACTTGTTGAACAGAGTCTTGTTGAAGATACTTAGTCAGTTCGTACCAGCGTGAAAATTGTTTCTGACTGGGTCAAAGGAATTGTTAAACATTTTGGGAAATATGCTCATTTTGCTAACTCAATTAATTGCAAGTTGTTTTAAAAAAATTTTTTAAATGCCCTGTACATTTTATGTAATGCACTTTTGCACAATTTCTTTGTTGTTGAAATGTTATATACAAATAAACTTGCCTTATCTTGCCTTTACATACAAATATATTCATATGCTGCAAAACCACAGATCAGCATATTTCTTGAGATATAATATGTTAATTAGCGAGTTGTATAGGTGCTAGTATGTGTTTTCTTTCGTCCAGAACCACATGCTTCCACTTTTGATAGATAGATATAAGGAGCAAAGTGCAGATAGGAAAGGAAAAGACACAAAGCTGTTATAAAATCAAGATTGCTTTCTTCCTTTACTAACCTTGCTGCAGTATTTTGCCAAAGTATTTGTTGTGGCTCGTGCAGTTCCACCGGCGGTACCTGAACTGGTACTGGCACTCCCGCACGCCGAGCCTGGCCCCTTTGGCAACCTCGCTGACGATCTCCGGCTGAGTCTGGCACAGCTCAGCCTGCTTTCCCGCCAGACGCTTCGCCTTCCTGCAGATACTGTTGGGGTCCATCACCAGGGGACTGCCCACCGCCCTACAAAAGCATTAACAATGTAAAACAATTGCAGAGTGAATTGATAACTCAAGCAACACCTGTTAAAATCTCACAGTAAATAATGTGGCTGTACTCATCAGCAGCCACAAACCAACATTTTTTTTTTTTCTGTGGCTGCTATGCCTGCCAACTCTTCCCACCACATCTCAACGACAATGTGCTTCTGGAACAGGACCATGGGAGACAAGGGATCAGAGTTTCCCAGAGGCATCTCCTCATGTCACATTCACAGGCTTAGAAGAAGTGTGTGGTCCTCACAGAGTTGGAAGTCACACAGTTGGAAGCCTCTTAACAGACAGGCCGTTTACAGTCCATCTTGACGTTAAGTTGATTTTGGTAAACCAGAGGGCCGACTTTCTAGATTCCACATGATACAGCTTCTCTGGAGATTTTTGCAGCAGTTAAGAACTTCACTGCTGAAACCACACAACTGGGCCTCTTTATGTACTTCCCAGATTAAACCCATCTCAATGAAAAGTATACATATAATATTACAGCAAATCAGTATTTAATTGCAAGATAAATCAAGCTTGCCTCATGTACTTCAAATATTTAAAACATAAAAAAAATACATGTACATATATCTTGCATTTGATCAATACAGACTACGGACCTCCTCAGCAGCTTTGACAGATGAGTGTATATAATAAAGATAAATAGTTTATTCAAACTCTTAACGGGAAAGAAGGTCTTGGCTTGACCACTTTGAAGCAACGCCATGAAGCCACTGCTGCCCGTTTAGTGTCATAATATGAGAGTGGCTTTACATTACGCTTTTATTACCAATCTTTCTGTAACAAACAGCCATTTGTCGACTCTGTGCCGTGGTACTTATGCATGTCAACTTTCCTCACACTATTTTTCATTTACTCCGTCACATCTGCTGAGAATCAGCGACTTTTAGGCCATAACTGATCCACAACTTTAAATGCAATCAGAGTTTGAGGGGAACGCATAACACAGAGCGAGAGAAAGCCAGAGCCTCATAGGTTTTCGTTCGGCCTTGTGCCTGTTAATCGCACTGGCTGGTATCTTTCAACTGCTTCGAGAGTTTGTTTTAAGAAGCAGAACAAACACTCCTGTCCGTCCCCTCTCCTGGTGCTCTGACACCGAGCACACACATGCACGTTCGTCCTCGCACACTCAATCCCCATGTTTTTGAAGTTTTGAACCAATCTATTTTCATTGTAATTAGGCTATTTATGTGGCAGACTAACATGCCAGCACATGATTGAATGGAAACATAATTCATAGGGAATCTTGCGTCAGGCTCTTTGCCAGTAACAGCATGGAAAGTATTATCCAGAAGCAAACAAACACTGTTACCCACCAGAGGTTACGTAGATGACAGTGGAAGAGAGCATAGATTACAGTTATGGTTTCCTTGTAATCCGTTTTGATAATTGAACTTGTCTGAAGATTAGGAGGAGTGAAGGTTCCTAATTCCACATAATCGACCTTGATATCTGGTGTTTAATGTGTATAATCTTCAAATTATATTAAAAATATTAAATGGACTTGGTCATAGTGGTCTATCCACACTCCAAGGACACCCACTGTTTCCATGGTTATTGACAGTGTATTGACAACATTGCTATGGAAACAATGTTGTTTTCTAAATACAGGTGTTTTCTCTCTCTCTCTCTGTGTGTGTGTGTGTGTGTGTGTGTGTGTGTGTGTGTGTGTGTGTGTGTGTGTGTGTGTGTGTGTGTGGGTGTGGTCCCGGTCTTACTCATTTAAATGAGTTTACACAGTCACAATATGGGGATAATCAATGTGTAACCATGGAGGCACGACTGTATGTGTGGGGTGTGTGTGTGTGAGGGGGGGCAGTCACACGGATAATTCGATCATACAGTCTGTACCTGTTAATTAGCAGGTACATGCACAATACTTAGCAAAACACACTCCAGCTCAACAACCACTCATTATCTATCATCAGGAAGTGTGTGGGTATACATATGCGTGTGTGTTTGTTAGAGAGAGTGAGATCGAGAGAAAGTAAAACTGATGCATGATCCATGCATGCAGGTGTCACGTAGTCTTCACATTTTATGGACGTGAGAAAGAGAATCACCTTGCATGTAAAGTTCTGTAAGTGTGTGTGTGTGTGTGTGTGCGTGTGCGCCAGCAGCATCTCTGGGAAGCCAGCTCTGTCAGCAGCTCACAAAAGCCGGCGTGGTTGTTTTATAATGAGAGGTGTAGAGTTGTAAAACTAGAGAAGGTACAGGATGGAGTTTTGTGTTGCTGTCTGAAAGTGAGAGACGGAGACAATTATCACAAAAGAAAATATTCCTAAGTGGTCTGATGACAGAGACACAGTGAGACTGTGTCTGGTGGTAAAGCAGATGTACCAGTAACTGTAAAAGTTTAGAAATGAGGCACAGTGAGGATGGGATTGGGAATGTGGGCGTGAATCTGACAGCAAAGTGAACTCGGGTGGAAAAGCATATCGCTGGATATATACCCAAAAATGGGGGGCATTAATTGGATGATGGGATGAGCGAAGGTGCCCCTGCATTCTTGCCCTTGTTTGGAGAGAGAAGCTGTGAGGTCCACTAAAAGAGCGGAATCATTTGTCATAGACTCAAAACTGTGCAAGTTGCAGGTGTGAAAACAAGAAGGAAAATAATGAAGTATGGAGGAAGAAACTATTTGAAAGTAGTCGTGAAGTATCAGAGCTATTGGGTCAGAGTATCAGAGTATCTGAACTCCAGATATATATATTCTTTATCAATACTTATTTGCCCTACTTAACAACATGCACACCAAGATGACTTTTGAACATATACTCTCATGGTGTTTACTTTTATGGTGTTGGTCATTAGTGTTCCCATTATGCTGCATATTCTCCAGCTCTCTTTTCACATGCTATTGTTCAGTTATTGTACCATTCTTTCACGTATTTGTTCAGTTTTGTTGTTGTTGTTGTCCTCATCCTTGCTGTATGACTATTTCATGTACACTTAGGAATTTAAAACCAGAGTTGCCCTTGCAAATACAGCTAATAAATGCGATTTACTGCTGCAGGCAAAAATTGTAAAATGTGTTCAACTACTTCTTCTTCTGCAGTCCCAGTCAAAGTAAAGCTACTTAAATGTGTACTGATCCTACCGAATCATATACAGATTAATGTGACCACCTTATAGCTCAAGTAATTAGACAAAGATGCCTCATGTTCACACAATCTTGCATACACACATTTCTCTGAGCAGGTGCATTAGCTACAGCTCAGGCCTGCACACAGATAAAGGCTCACGTCCACTTGTGCGAGAAGGAACTTCAAAGTGAGACAGAAATCAGATCCTTCTCATGTGAGGTGGCACTGTTCCTCAGCCCGTCATGTATGGTACACATAACAGATAATGCACCAACAAAGATGTGCAGTCAGTGATTTTATCAGGAGGTTAAAGGAAACAATTTTATTGTGTGAAATGTTTTTCATAATGATAAAGTGCTAACGTACAGATAGAGGTTTATGTAGTCAGAGATAAAAGACGACAAAGCATGCAAATCAAAGCAATGATATCAGGATTATCAGCTGTTATCACCTGCAACAATCTAACAGCTTCTCCAATCAAGAACTACTTTACCTTGTGGTTCCTCTTAATTTCCTAAAGAAATGTAAGTACGATCTTATCGGTGTGGTTTCACATTTGTTTAAAAAGGTCGTTCATAAAGCACTGGAGCTGGAAAATGGAAAAAACAAGTGGTTTCAAATTAATATGTTATAAATAGACGCCTTATTCTGTGTTTTCTGGCCTCAGAGGTGGGTCAGAAAGAGATTAAACATTAGTGCACGACCTCAGGTTTCATAAAGGATCTCACGGCACCATAGATAAAGTGCTGTACTGTACGGGACCCTTCTTTTTTTTCACTCCGCCCACGAATGAGTGAATTTCATCCCTCCTTAATCCCTCAAGTATGCTGGAGATGAAGACAGTCACGACAAGCGCTAGTCTGAGACGCCAGCGTGCGAGAGAGAAAAAGAAAAGGATCAAATAGAGACAGCTCGGGAGAGTTGGAGAAAAAATGAGTGGGTGGGGAGAGGTTGAATGTGCGATAGGGAGAAATAAAGAGATAAGCAAGGTGATGAAGAAATGGGGAAGAAAATAAAAACATATGTAAAATGAGTCTGCACTGCCAAACTCATTTTGGAGATGGATGGGAACAAATTAAGAACCCGTGCCACGCGGTGTCCCTGTGCGGACAGTGTGAGGGGGTCAGAGTGTCATCAACAACAGCTCCTCTGTTTTCCTGACCCTGCAGCCCAGAACACGTTGATCCCTTTCAAACATGTTCTGTTGTGTTTCGTCGTGTAGAATAAGAGGTTTAGTGCAATGGAATTCTGTTGCAATACAACATTTCACAACTCATAATTGGTAGCGCACCCAATTTAAACAGTGGCAATAAAGTGTGATCAGCAGGAAACCAATGCTAAACCAATTTCACATAAGAAAACCATCCAGGGTTTGTTCCGTTGTAATAACAGTGACACACCCAACAGCACTGACGGCCAAAAGATGAAAACTGTTTTATATCAACAGACATGTGCATGTGACAAGGAGGGGCTTGAAAGGTGCAGGGATGAGCTCAGCACTCGATACGTAACGTGGCGAAAACAAGTTGTTATTATAAAGGCTAGTGTGAGTGAAAACATTATACATGGAACTGAATATTTCGCTCTGTTACTGAAGCAAAGGGGAGTTGTTTTTATCTCGTATTTTATTTTAAATGTACAATATGTAACTTTGGCCATGAGGGGTCCCCTCAGTTGGAATAGACCTGGTGTGATGATGTTGTGAAGGAGTGTGGGATCATGGGAGTAGTTGTCTTCAACATCATTGCCCTTGAAAATGTACCTAACACTGCTTAGACTCAAATAATGTTCAAGAATGAGGCAATATAATAAAGTTGTATTCACATTACGCAGCAAACGGCAATGAATTATAGTGATTAATTGCAAGTGACAAGTACAAACAGTCGAGGGAAATGTATAGCAGAAACAGACAAAGACACAGGTACAGAGGATATGAGGCAAATAAAAGGCGAATCAAAAGGAAACCTTCTGTTACCTTGAATAAATTTGTGGGTTTTAACATTGTTTGGATAATGTAAGGACGCAAGTGAACAAAATATACACCTTGTCGTTTTTAGTCATTCTAGTAAAGAACTGTTCCATATTTTATCTTTAAGATAAACTAACAAACACTATTTAAGAGTTTAAAAAGTTGTGATACATACGCTACTGAAAGAGATTCCTGATTTACATCTGAAATCAGATAGAGCCTGACCACATAAAAGTGCAAGTGTAAATGCCCCTGAGACACATTGAGGATGGATTCTGATCTGATCCACCTCACCACCTCCGATGATAGTCAGGGGCACTTTGCATTCACACTTGTGATGAATGTGATATCAAAGTAGTTGTCACTCCATATACAAAAAGATCATAGAAATAGAAACACATGATAAAGTTTCTGTTTTCTTTTAAATTATTATATTTACATGAGCAGTAAGAAAAAACAGGAAAGGCATGAAAACTCCAGACAGCAGCAGCGATACTTTATGTAGAAATCTACCATAATATTGAAAGTTATCATGAAGCCATGTTACTACAGTTCTCCCTCCAGCTGGGGAGATAATTCAACATTTCTTTGATTGTTTCTTGCTCTCTGCCCTGAATATATTTTTGGGATTGGAATTATTTTTAGCTTCAATGTCTACAATGTTGCACAACTACACACAATACACACATTTAATTCAGTTCACTACCTGGTGCCAAACCCACATCGTTGCCATTTAATCTTTATCTGTACCCACATCCCTGGTCCTGATTAAACATCTAGCTTTTCAGCCTCGGAGTGGAGCGGACAAGATAAGATCTGTTACAGCGAAACCCTCCTCTGGTGATGATGGCAGTGAGCGTGTGCATGCGTACATATATGTTTCCCTCACTGTACGACTGAACGTGTGCTTCTTTTTTTAACATCTCTGAGTGCATGTTGAACAGATTAACCACTGGATCAAGATGTATTTGTACTGACATACACATAAACACACAAAGGAGGGAGCTTCAGCACACAGACACACTGTGGGTTTGTGTGTGTGTGTGCACCTGTGGGCCTGTGACACGCTCCAGACAGGCTGTGACACACACACACACACACAGACACACAAAGTGCGGTTGGCCCTGCTAAGCACTGCAGTCAAAACCAGTATAAGAGAGCAAAGGCATTCCTAACTCCTCGGAGTCTGAGCTCTCTGCTCTCAGGCCAAATGATTAGAGCGCTCTAATCAGCAGAGGCTCTGAAAGGACAGCTATCTCCCAGCATTTCATCTCTTCCACTTTCTGTCCGTCTCTCCCTCTCTCTTCCTTCAGCGACAACCTATCTGCAATGATAGGTATTTTCCCTCAATAGACCAGTACGGCTAAAGACAGGCAGAGACAGAGACGCTCAAGAGGAGCGAGCATGAGACTGCGGAGGAGAGATGTACGATGGTATGTCCAGCAGCTTTCAACAGAGAGCATCATTGTCCTGGCAGACATGGGAGCAACCCACAGGTGTGGGTGCTGTTGTGTGTGCGTGAGAGCGCGCGTGCGTGGATGTGTGCGCTTGGGCGTCTGGGCAAGCCAGCAAGTGAGTGAGTGAAAGAAGATGAGCACGTATGCCAGTGGGGATAAAAAGAAAGTTGATGATTTCTGATTCTCTTAATCCATCGCAAAATAAAAGCCAATACAATCGTGATAGTAATACTACAGAAATGGGAGTTGTTCTCTTGAACAAGTTCATATACAAGGTAAGCCCCATAAACTATGAAAAAGTAGAATTTTCTTTTCCCTCTTTTCTGATTGTTCTTATGTTTGTATTCTAGATGTATATAAAAAAGCTAATCACGGTACAATAGTCCATAAAAGTTCAAATTCAGTGCATTACACTTCTTTTATTTATTCTGAACATCTGTTGTTCATTATTTTCTTACTTGCTTGTATAGAAATGTTTTTATCCAAACATGTTCAAAATGAAAAACCTAACCTGTAATGTTTTTATCTCAAATTATAATTTCAGTTTGTTTAAACTCTATCAGGACAACACGATGGTTTTACCAGATTTCGCCAAAGTGAATGAGTGTTTGAGGGCAGGGTAATAAAACAGCGATCCCTCTGGGAAAGAGTTTTTCCCTCTCTCCCTCCACAGCTGGGTGGAAGCACAACTCAACAACAGATCATCACCCTCTTAATTTGATTTAGTTCGTCCATCTGAAAATTTTTCTTTTCCTCCACGTTGGCTCATCGTCCACACTGCTCCTATTGTTTTTCACACCACATACGGGACCCTCTAAAAAATGCTCTCCAGTGCGGATACATCTGAAAACAACTGCCTTGTATTTTTTGGTGTACAGGAAAAACAAGTTTTGGACAGTGATGAGATAACAGATGCAGACAGGCAGTAATGTTAGGAGAATGACTGACCCATCAGTGATTTCTCATTTTAAATGAATAATTGCACAGTATTGTATCCATTTATTCAACAATTTTGCAATAACCAAATTGTGATGTGATCAGTGTTGGAGTTTTTTAAGCCAAAATCCCAATACTTAAAAAGTACAAATAATTAAGTATAAATTATGTCTGGCTTGATGGTCAGCGGACGGCACCAAGAGAGGATTAACCAGCGGAGACTCAGCAGAGCTGTGTGTCCCTCTCGTAAACAGATGTGGAGAAACATCATCTAAAGCTGCCAGTTCATCTCCCAGTCATACAAGGACGTACTGTAGAGTCTACTGTGACACTACATCCCACATTGACCTTGACTGGGCTGCAAATGAACAGTGGGAGGATTCGCTGGGGGAAAAAAAACAAAGCTTCACATTCAAACACTGCCACTTTGCAGAAAGAGTGTGTGTGAGCGTGTGTGTGTGTTTGAGGGAGAGAGAGAGAGAGATGAGGACAGAAACACTGGATGTTGTCTAATGAAACACTGCACATGAGACAATGAGAGCGCTTCACAGACAGACAGTCAGACAGACAGTCAGACAGACAGTCAGACAGAGACCCACATGTTATCAGCAGATCTGCATGGGCTGTCTGTCTGTCCGGCTGTCACACACACCTTGTGGAGCTGAGCCTATATGGATTGTTTTATGATGACATATCCACTGTGCCTAGAGGGCCACCTGACATTCCTCACTCTGAGCACCCCCCCCCCAAACACACACACACACACACACACAAACACACACACCATCAACACCACCTCCCTCTCCTCTATGTATTACTGCAGGCGATGAGCAGCAGACACCTCTCTCTCTCCTCCCTGTTGCTCTGTCTCCTTCTCCTCTGTCCTACTTCAGGCTGTTCTTCCAACACCTTACCCCTCATAATGATGCAGCATAATAATGAACTGCTTCACCCTGCGATTACACCCACATTATCCAATCCAACTGTGACCTGTGGGTGAATATTTCAATGTCATCCATGGATCCATGGCATTTCGCATATCATCAAATATGAGTTCATTATAGGTTAAAAGAACATTTAAAAATTTTTAAAAAGTTTTAATTCAATATTAGGGGATGGGGATAGTTATTAATAAATGAATGTTCATATAGCTGAATAGATTTAAAATGTCTTTGAGGGTAAGCAACAGCCATGTGTGTCAGTAATGTTCAGTATTTAGGTGAAAAACCGGTGCTGTGAATAGAAAACCAGATTACGCACCATGATTGCGCGCAGGAATAAAATATAACCAAGTCGTCCGAGTTCATTTAAAAACCCATGGTTGACAGAAGACAGAGAGCCACAACACACGTGGTGAACATGCAGAACACTTACCACCACAGTCCGATGATGTTGACCGGACAGAGCAGGATGAAGAACAGGGCCAGCTGGATCCGCGATAGGCGAATAACAGTCATGTTGAGCGCTGCAAATCCTCAATGAGATTCCCCAGCAAGAAAGTTTGAAGTGACTCAGCTCAGCCAACAGAGAGTCGGGTCACCTCTGAAATACATAGGAGCCTCTTGTTTTGCGGCGTTAAGACTCAGCAAAATGTCACTGGAAGCTGTCGGTCAACGAGAGCGCAAACAGGGTTCATCATCCAACTTCTCGTCTGTCCGGCGCATCTTAACGCGCAGCAAAGTCGCTCAGGAGGCTGCAGAAGAGACGTCCACTTTCAAAAGGTGTGGTTAGCCTCCTCATTGTCGTTGTGCTGTAATCTGTCGCAGTATTTTACATGTTTCCACCGGCGGTTAGAGGAGAGGAGCGAAGTGCCAAAGCAGGAAAGTTCTTTGAGGGCGAAAACTGCTCTGGCTGAGAGGACACCCGGACTCTCTTTTCTTTTTTTAAACGATGAATTGACATAAAAGACTTAGAAGAAGAGCACCGATGCTTTCCGAATGCACACAATAAACCGTGGTTTGTGTGGTGCTGTTGGGTTTTGCTCCTTCTTTGCGCACTCCGAAGTGACGCACGGATGAACTTTGTTGGAGAGGCAGTGTGCGGTGCGCGCCGGCTGCAGGTAGGTAGAAGCGTCTGCAGTGTGCCACCGGTCTGTGGGCCGATGTGTTTTCTTTGGATGATAAAGGGAGGGAAAAAATGTGCTCCTCTTCCTCGTCTTCTTCTTCCACCTTGGTGTGACGTCGCTCCGGGCGCAGCGAAATCCTCGCTGTCACTCATGAGGGGGGAGAGAGAAAGAAACCGCAATTAGCTGCAGGAGGACCCGGCGCAGAGCTGAGAGCAGAGAGAGGGTAAACACACACACACACACAGAGAGAGAGAGAGAGAGAGAGAGAGAGACGTGCCATACAGTGTGTTTATGGTGGACCCGAAATAAGAGCTTATGGAATGAGGTGATGTCAGTACAGGTGTGGTAGCAGCTCTCTGATACTGTGTTTGTGCCAAGAGACTGGCACGATCTGACTCCATCTCGATGGGAAGTTTCATCATGCCACATTGTTTTCTAACTCAGCGTTTATAAGCATTGTTACAAAGAGGAAACTAGTTTCTTTATGCACAAACAATGGCTAAGTTTACCAGCTGCACTCCAGAGAAGTTACTTAAAGTGTGTGTGTGTGTGTGTGTGTGTGTGCGCGCGCGCGTGCATGTGCGCTTGCATGTGTGTGGAATATTATCACCTGCCTGGCCAAGGGCATGTATCCACTGAAATCCAACACCATTGTACTGTAGTGGGCCATAAAAGCCCTGACACCCAACTTTGTTTCACTGCTGTGATGCAATCAATCACAAGTGTAACACAAGGCGAACTCACCCAGTCAACTACCACTGTCTTTCACTCATGCACAAATACACGTAATTGAGGATTTAACTGTCACCGATGAGACTCCTTCCCTCAAGCTATTGCTGACTTTAAGCCCTGACGTAAGGCTGGCGAAGAAAAGTCCTGACTTCAAGAGTTCGATACAAAACTTTGATGAGAACAAAGTCATATTTTATGTCATACAAGTGGAACATCTGAAGAGTAAGTTCTGCCCAAAGTATGGCCCGGAGTGGCAGGATTAGTTCGTCCAAACTTTTGATCCTTTGAAATATTTGTGTGTGTCAGTGCCTTATGAAAAGATTGAAAACACTTGAAGCAAATTCATTAAAAACCACATAGCCCACATAGAAAAATTGTTTTGGCCCAGTTTTGGCCCACATCCCACACAAGGCCCACATCCCACATGGAATGATACTTGAGCGGTCCGCTCCTCTTTGCCAAATCTGAGCCACAAGTGAGCCATAGCAACGCTGCATATCAACCAAAGGTGCCAAAGGTGGCCTGAATTAGTTTTGGCCGATTTTGTTGATATTCACCATTTTTCACATGGTCCACTTTAGGTTCAAATCCAGATCACACCTTACCTAGAGCACCGCATGTTAGCCAACAATGGCCAACATTTCTTTTGGGATATTTGGGCCAGGTTTGCTATTTTACTAGTGGGCAACTTCAGGCCACAAAAAGACCAGACGTGTTGCATCATTGCCCTAAATGGCCCACATCTGTATGCTATCTTGAGTCAATTTAATGCATGTATATCCTACTTGACATTGCAGCAGTTGAATTAATACTAATGTTGGTGTTACATCATTGTGTTTGAGAGCTTATGACCCATTTTCCCCAACTTTCTATCAAACATGATTTCCATTGATTTATTTTCGGCATGAACAACAACTTGTAAAGACTCGAAGCTTACTCAAGGTGATCCGTCACATTTACTTTCCTGCTTTTGTTTGGTCAGAGTGTAATGGAGTGGTAATGCAGCTGCAAATGTGTTCTGACATGAGAAGAATATTCATTTATGTGCTGTTCAAATATACATGTTTTCATGTAAATAACAGACAGACAATTTTTCTTTATAATGCAAGTGAATATATTTACACAGCCTTGTTTTGACATCTATGTTTTTGTCTTGTTCAGCATCTATGTTTGATTTCCTGACAACCTGGCTTGCCAGTATGACGCTGTTTATCAGCCAAATGTCAAGTCTCAAGCGCATGAATCAACCCATGCTATTTAAACAGTAGCTGCACTAACGCAAATTCATGCTGGCACAGTTTTGGCCTCAAATCCCATCACACACCTCCCCCTGAAAACCTGAAGGTTTTAACAGTGAGGAAGGATTGACAGCTTGTCAAGCTTTGCAAACATTGTGTGTCTGCTTAGTATCAATGTCAACTCTCTCTCGATCTTCAGTGGCTGACACTGACATCTGTCCCTCGCTGTAGAATTGTATCTGTACCTGCCTGATTCAGGGTGTCTCTGGAATGCAGAAGGTCTAAAACTTATGTATGTCTTTGAAAGATAAAAAAAAAGAAAATCTAAAACATGATCGCTGAAGGAGTCTGGGCTCCCAGAACAAATTGTACTGTTTTCTATTGTAATTTTGACATTTCAGTTTGGATGCCTGCATAGTGGGCATTAATGTAAACCTTTCACACATCAATTCATCCACACTGGTGTGAATGTGACCCACCGTGACCAGTTCCTGACCGTCTGTAGTTTTTCAATAAAGGGTAATTCCTCTTTTAAACCAGAGAGAGGATAAAACACATGACTCCACTTCTAATCAAATGCACAGTAGCTAGTGGATAATGGGCAATATTAGTTGCATATAAGTGATGCTGTATCTTGTACCCCTGACCCCTGCACTTTGTCCCGAGTTAGATTCCACAGCCTCCAAGCTGTAGTATCACTGTCCTAAATCAATTTGACCCATATTTGATAGGTTAAGGGACCTCAATATGTAAAGTGAGTAGAGATAATGTGTGTTGTGATTTGCAGATACAAATAAAACAGAATCTAATTGAACTGAAATCCCTTTATTGCACTTATACAATATGGGATTATATTGGAACTGAGTGTTGTAGTGATTCATTGCAAAACAGTCTGCAAACATGTACAAGTGAGGATTACACCAGGACTGTTCTGATAGTTACAGTACTTCCTGGATATATAATACAAAGTAGGAGATACTTATATATTATTAATGAATCATTAGGTAGTAACAGATTCATAAAAACCTGTTGTTTTCAGGCACCTTCAGGTGAAGTTGAACATTATGCTGAGTATTTAACAAGCTTTCTTACAATGAATTAAATTACTAAAGTAAACTGTAGAGTGTTTGTCACTTTCAATCCTTGGGCCACTTGACGTGGGAATGCTCCAGGTTTGATGGGGTTGCATGTGGTTTGGGAACTAGACATCTAATCTTGATGTGAAAAGAGTTTTTCTTTCCCTTCAGTGTTTTTGGTTGTGTTCGGCCAATGCAGACAGTGTTGCAAATCAGTGAGCGGAAGCCCTTACGACCGTATTGGATTTGAAGGATTTCTGCATTAATAAAATGATTTGTACTATGTGATTCAGCTTCCTGAGAGAGGCTTTGCTCTGTGATGCCCTTGAGCCACTCAAGCGTCACCAAAATCAATTTTATCTTTGCAGCCCTGATCTCAGATGAAGAGACATTTATTTTCCATTCTTCTTAAACCCATCCAGGTCAGCATGAGTCCAACATAGAAAATCAGCATCTGGTTGTCTGGTCATTTCTGAATCCACCATATTCTAGAGTTTTCACATCTAGTAATGAAACTAATAGATGTAGCTCAGAAGTGATGTCAGCAGTATCTGCTCTTCCTCCAGATGTGTTCAGGCTCCCTAGGTTCTCTGTTGCTTCACTGAAATAACTGTGTTGAATTAAATTTTCATTTATTGAAAATGTATCCTTAAAAATAATAAACAAGAGTAATATTCAAATTCATGCTCCCTACACGGTATTTGTACATTTGTAGACTTACATGTCTTTCTCTTTGCCTCCACATCCATTGACCTGTTTCTATCTCTTGCACGTCAAGTGCTCGAATCAAAACAAGGTGAATAATTAACACTCTGTGCCTGAGACAGAGCACACAGTGATGTTCTAACAAAGAAAGCTGAACTCTGTGGAGTTTGGCTGCATTTGTTCACGCATTGATATGTGAACCGGCACCAGCTGCAACAAACGTAGAACATTATGAGAATTGAGTTATCTCAATACACTATAAATAACTGCAGCATAGTTGTGAGCAAAAACATGAGACTTGAAATAGGCTTTGTGCCGGCTGTTCTCTCTCCCAACATCTATCTTTCAGCCACCTTATGCTCTCTTTTCCCCCCTCTCCTCTGTTTCTACGTCTCACTATTCCCCAGTTTCTCCCTCGTCTTGTCCCTCTCTCCGCTGGATGAGTGTGTTTTGTTAGGAAGGGCTGATTCTTCATACTTGGCTGAGGCTTTACGGACAATAAAGATCTGATTTCAAAGTCCGGCAGGGTGTTGGGCCTGGGGTCTTGGCTCACAGTTTAAGTTGCCTGCTGGGAGGAGACGCTGCACAGCCCCTAACCAGATGGCCATCAGCCCACTTACATTAGATTCATATTGTACATTATGTGCATTGTTCGGATTCTTGCCTGTTAGCTTACCTCACTATCTTGGTCTTGGACAGTGACAAAATAAGCTCAGTCATGCATGTATTGTCTGTTGTATTTGCTGTAAAAAAGAAGGGGAAAACCACTACAAGCTGCTTCTATCAAGATAAACAACGTGCATATAGAGTTTGCATGAAAAACATTGATATTCTGCAGCCGACTCTTAAAAGCTGGAGCTCCTTGAATGCACTTTAAACAGACAGCTCTTTAATTTCTGCTCAATTACAATGGAAGCTTGTCAAAGATTAGTTTAATGTGGTGAAGAACTTTATGCCATTAATAGAAGTTCTCAAAATGAGTTGAAACCAGGTGACTGTCAGAAACAGCACAAGTGACAGAATGGGCTCAAACCACCACTGTGCTCC